GTGTGTGTGTGTGTGTGTGTGGTCCAGGTATTACTCATGTTGTGGCAACCTAAGTCCGTTTAGAAAGTCACATTATGGAGACTTCTCTTCCATATGGAGACATTTAGCCAGTCCCCATAATGTGATAATAATAACTAATAATAACAATGTTGTTTTATGTGTATGTGTATGTAGCAGTCATCATGTTTGTTTATTGCCAGAATGCCAGAAAGGTATTATTTCAATGGTATTACTTATGTCATCAGTTCTATATGAGGGTATCTCAGTATTTTCCTTGTGTGGTTTTAGCTTTGGTAGCTGTACATTATATTATTATATGTGAAGTATCCAGATTTTACATGAATGTACGCATTAAAATGAAGTACATGATAAATGTCACTTGTCTTTTTCGTGTATCTTGACTCTATGAACTTTCACCTGACCATAAATAAACTATATTTCAGCACAAATCTTTCTTAAACTCTAAAATGGCACTTTCATTAGTGATTATTTTACATTTTCATTTTCAGAATTCAGAATTGATTTTCTGTAATCAATTGTGTTGGTTGAAGATATTTGACAAAATCAGTGTACAAAAGATCCAGAGCAGATGTTTCACACGAGTCCTGCTCTCGAATGGAAAAACCAAAGTCTTGAATAAAGATTGGGGGGGGGGGCATTCAATAGTAGCAGAAAACAAACAGAGGTTTGTGTGTTTAGGTGGAGATAGTTCCACAAATAATAAATGAAGCAAAGGTGTGTAATTATATCAGCAACATTTTTAAGGTCATGAACAGATTTATATTCAAGTAAAAAACTTCGAAAGATATAATTTAGAGGAACAGAAATGAGTTTTAGGGGTTTAATCAATGCCAGGAGAGGAACTTTAACCACGAGTCACTCTTCTTGTGGCAAATGTCTTGCTCTGTTGCCATGTTTAATTGGCAGATCTGTCAGCTTTGCATAAATCTTTGTAAATTACATCGCCCTTATCTCATCCCAGAGATGGCCCCTTGGGTCGCTTGATTCCAGTGGTTCAGCCAGTGGGGCATGGCGGGGAAATGACTCGTAATTGGAGGCAGATAAGTGTCGTCACCCCCTGACACACACTCGATAAACAGCTCTGAGCTTAATACTACTGACCACTCTTTTTTGTTTTGGCAGATTTCTTCATACCACACATTCCACACAGGCACATGTACATTCATGCATTCTCCCGGCCGCTCTGCTATCTTACTCTCTGATTGTTTAAAGTGTCTATTCTTTACCCTCAATTCTCTATTAATGCTGTTGCTGATGGTCTGTTGCTCTGTTCAGTCAGTGCAAAAGGCTTCGGGATTGCGTTTGCCAACGTGGGGTCTGTGTCTGTGCGCACCGGTGCGTGTTATCACGTGTGTTCGAGTGTGACAATACTGTAGTGAGTCTGCAATGGCTGCCTACATGTTTCTCAACAATTTGGTTTGATTCACTACAATTTGCCTCAACCATTTCCACAGACTTGGTGTAAAGTCTGCAGGGGTTCATGTGAGAGGATATCATAACTCTCACAACTGCACATAATACGATTGTGGTTTAAATATATGCTTAAAAATCAATCCTGAGATCCATCAAATGTGTTTTTGAAAAGAAGTACACCAGTACTGCAGGGATTCCACTAACTTCAGACTGTATCTGCTCTACCTGTTTTTCAAAATTTGAAACATTTCCACTATGCAATAGTGCCGTTATAAGATACTGTGCATTTTAAATAAGAAATGTGATATGATGCTAAATTTTCCAATGTGGGAAAGCTGCTTTCACGCTGATTTTCTTAGTCACACAACAATGTCACGATGAGGACTTTGGAGATCTCAAGGGTTTTGGAAAACTGTTTGAGTATCTTATTCTCAAGAGTGCTTGATTATCTGTGAACGCAGAGTAATGTCTCTTGTCTGTATGTCCTTGACAAGTCAGTGTTACCACAATTCCCACTTCACCTTTCAGGAACTACATTGTTAATATTGCGAACAGAGGTGCCTTTATCTACTGAATCATAGATGGCTCTCAGAGTTGTATAAATACGCACAGACAAGGATTTGTTTGATTGTATCACAGTCATCGTTATTGTACCTAAGCCCTCTCCTGGTGATTGGATGTGCTGTGCCTGCGTCTGGCCGGACTGTGATGGCTCTGATTTGTGTGTTAAGGCTAAAAGAGGTGCTGCGAAGCACAAATGTCAGAAGTATTTCTGTCAACAGTAGAAATTGTCCTCCAGCTCTGCAGTAACCCTACCTCAAACATCACTACTGTAAATAAACAGTGTTTCACCTCCTCTCTTTTATATCCCTCATTCGTCTCTTTCATTAGTTGCCTTCCCTCTGTCGGCCTTCAACTCATGTCCCTCCTTCTTCTCTATTGCTCCTTTTTACTCCCTTTGTCATCTTTTCCTTACTACTATACTATTTTGTCTTCCCTGCTCCCAGGCTTGCCTGCAGCCAGTGGCACGGGCACATTGCAGATCTATCTGATAGATATTAATGACAACCCTCCAGCGCTCATACCCAGGGAGTCTCAGATCTGCGAGAGGATGAACAAGAATGTCAAAGGTGTCAACATCACTGCCGCTGATGCCGACACTGACCCCAACGCCGGACCCTTTGTCTTTGAGCTCCCCAACTTCCCCACAAGCATCCGACGCAACTGGACAATTTCCCGGATCAGTGGTGAGGAGGTGTCAGGGAAAATGAAAAATTTATATTTTTGACACATAACAAAATGTACTATGGCACTTGTCCAGCAATTTGTTCAAATCTCCATTAAAAGCATCCACTAACTTTTCTCTTTCTCTTACACAGGCAACTACGCCCGTCTGGGTCTGCGGTACCAGATATATTTGGAGCCTGGGGTGTATGAGGTCCCTGTAATTGTGTCGGACTCTGGAAACCCACCATTGTCCAACAGGTCTGTCATCAAAGTGAAGGTGTGTCCCTGTGATGAAAATGGAGACTGCACCACTCTCGGGGCCGTGGCAGCCGCTGGCCTGGGAACCGGCGCCATCATCTCCATCCTGATCTGCATCATCATACTGCTCAGTGAGTGTCACGTGTTCGGATCTGGCACTTCACTACTCTCACACACATAAACAATGAGAAAAGTTACAGCTGCCTGTGACTGACATTGATTTTCCTTTTCGCCAAACAAGCGCAGTTTAGGTTGAAGCCATTAAACATTAACCCGGCTTTAATACAACAATACAACAATAGTTTGTATAATGGAGGAATGTCCCGACCGCTGGATTCTTCTCCAGCATCTCGTAACGAGCAGTTTTTGTCTTGTGCAGTTCTGGTAGAGTAAATATCTGCTACTCTGTCCTCCACTGATTCATGCCATTGGCTTACTTTGTTACTTGTTTGTTTGGTTGCATTGTTCGTACATACAGAGACGTTCTATAGACAGATTCACCCGTAGCTGTGATATTATACTATAAGTTACTACACTGTTATACTATACTCAACACAAATACCCAATCTTCAGTAGATTTACACTCAATAATGCACAGTCTTTACATAACAATGCATATTCAGCATGTGTAAATATTTATTCCATGATGTGTGTGTATATTTATATATACAGTATCCTCTGTGTGTATACCTATGTGCATTTATTTATTTTTCTATTATTAAGTTTTAAGCTTTATTAAATGTTTAATGCTTCATCTTTATTTTTGCATCAATGGAGGACCAGCAAAATAATGATTAATATAATTTCATATGAATAAAAGAAAGACTCTATTATACTGATGAATATAATAATGAAAAAAAGAAAAGGATTCTTCAATTTTGGTACAAAGTTGGATTCAAAGATGAACTGACGTGGTGGTGAAAGGTGAACTTACAAAACACTTTTTTGGTCTTGTGGGAGCATCATCTCAGGAACACCTTCAGGGAATCTTTTAAATTTAGTACAAACGTTCACTTGGATTAAAAAATGAACTGATATATTTTGGTGGTTGGAGATCAAAAGGTAACAGCAGCCTCATATGATGAATTCAGACTGAAACTACGCTGGTTGACAGAGGCCTAAAACCACAGGGCAGTAAATGTGGTTAGTTTATCAGTATGTGCAGTTTACTCGAGGTATAGAAATTCAGTGTTTGGAGGAATGCAGTGACATTTGGTGCACAAACCTCCAGGATAAATTTTTATTTTTTTTTTTTTAAACACTTAAGATACCTGGAACACCTAGAAAACTTATGATGCAGTACTTTGTGTATTCTTGCTTATTGTGTGTGTGTGTGTGTGTTGCAGGCCTGGTGCTATTGTTTGTGGTGTGGATCAAGCGCAGAGAGAAGGAGCGGCAGACGAAGCAGCTGCTGATTGACCCTGAAGATGATGTCAGAGACAACATCCTTAAATACGATGAAGAGGGAGGAGGAGAGGAGGACCAGGTGAGATTCCTGAGAGACTCAGCCGCTCACACACATGCTTTCCATGTTGACCCCTGCCCTGCTTACATCTGTTTGCCCCTGCGGCCGTGTAGGACTATGACCTGAGCCAGCTGCAGCAGCCCGACTCCTTGGAGCACATCATCAGCAAGCCGCCCGGTGTCCGCAGGGTGGACGAGCGTCCCATAATCCCCGAGTCCCAGTATCCAATTAGACCTGTCGTGCCCCATCCTGGAGACATCGGGGACTTTATCCATGAGGTGACAAACACACACACAGCGGACACACACATTGTATCTCGTGATATTGTTTCTCCCACAGTGAGATCACTTTCTTTTCCTCTGATATTTACCACGAGAAGCAATGCTTAAAAATATTGAGTAAGAAATGTGTAGGTCAGAGTGGAAGGAAAGAGCCAAAAAAAAAAAAATCAATTAATCAAATTGTATTTGTGGAGCCCATATCTAAAGATCACAACTTGTCTCATCCTCTGACCTTGACCCTCAACAAGAGTGAAGAAAAACTACCAAAAAACACATTAACGTAGAAACCTCAGAGAGAGCCACATTTGAGGGTCCCTCTCCCAGGATGGATGGAAGTGTAATAGATGTTATGTGTAGCAGAGCACATCAACAAAATAACAATATTTCCAATGTTGATGAGAACAGACTGTGTCTAACATAAATGTTGTTGTGAGTCAATGTTTGTTCAAATTGATACACGGTTACATCCACAATATCATTTCTCATTTATTTACTTCCCCTCACAGAAAACAAGTAAGATAAGTGATGCAGTAAGAATCTGCTTATAAAATAGAAGGGGAAGCTTCATGTCGCAAAAACCTCTTTCTTGACTTTAAGAG